CAAATTCATGGGATACGATGGAATGCATCCTAGGTTGCTAAACGAATTAGCAAATTTTGTGGCGAATCCGCTAATTGTATGTTCCAACCTATCTGTAACTGATGCTTGACTACCAAAAGACTGTAAGAATAATCTAGTAAGTCCTGTTTTCAAAGCAGGTATAAGATAAAAAACTGAAAAATATCGACAGGTAAGCCTAGCCAACCCACTTGTTAACATTTTGGAAAAGACTGTTGGAAAGAAGTTGTATAAGTATTGTAGTGACTCACTTTTATCACGAGAACACGACTGGTTTAATAAAAACAATTATTAATATAACCAACTGTACCAGTGCTTGTTTTAATGTGCTTTTGTTTAACTGTGCTAATTACAGCCATTTTGTGCTTCCATTACCTTTCATCAATATTCCGCGGTTTTTGGCTTTGTTCGTCGACTCCAGCCAACTTCGGCAAAAGCTGGCTCTATCACCCACGCTCTTGTCAACGCACTCAGTCGATATTTTGGTTTCGAATGCTTGGCACACGCTTGGTTTCGAACGTGGTCGTTATGGTCGCTTCTGGTTCCTCGGCTCAACGTGGTTTCGTCCTACGTCTGGAGCGTTTCTGGTCCGTATCCCTGGGAACGCATTCTTCAGACCCTGGATACAAACCACTCTGGTGTAGTATGGCAACTCAAGCAACAAATACATCACATCGCTCCTGGTACCGTTCTCCGAAAAAGACCTTCGTTGGCAATTCGACGATCAACGATCGCTTTCCTGATCCGCCAATTTTTCTGTCCTACAATCGCTCGTCAGCCGATCAGTCCTAGGATTAAAACCGCTATTTATCGAAAGTGTAAACCCTTTCTAGCGGAGGGCTCCTGTAGCGACTCTCTTTTATCACGAGAACACGACTGGTTTAATAAAAACAATTATTAATATAACCAACTGTACCAGTGCTTGTTTTAATGTGCTTTTGTTTAACTGTGCTAATTACAGCCATTTTGTGCTTCCATTACCTTTCATCAATATTCCGCGGTTTTTGGCTTTGTTCGCACTTACTCCATTCTTCTGTTTTCGCTTGTACCATTTCTTGGCACGATCTTGGTATTCGTTTGATACCATGAGATCGCCAACGAAATAAATCTGGTTACGTTCAACCTTCGCCTTCTGATTTGTTTGGTACGCGTTTCCTTGTAGTGGCGTTCATAGTCAATCTCGAGTCGACACCACTCTACAACTGGTTAGCCAAACTTCGGAACACGCTCCAACCTCTGGTCGAATCTTCCAAAGAAGCCGATTCGGCGAGTCTATCGTTTATCTATCCACGTCCGTCGTACATTTTTATATTAATTTTTAATATATAATATACTCGACATGACGGATAGCGACAAGAATAGTATTAATGTCATAGACTCAGACCTACAGGCCATTCACTTTCGACCTGTATCATTTATTCCTCACGACCCAGAGGTTTGGTTTGCTGCGTTAGAGTCTCAGTTCGAGACTCGTCGCATCACGAGCCAAAGGCAGAAGTACGCCTTCGCTTTCGAATCACCACCCGGGGACCATTTAGTAGCTGTACATGAGGTTGTCCTCAATTCAAGCATACCTAATGTTTACGATCGCCTCAAAGAGGCAATTCTCAGACACTTCCTCTCATCGAGGGAGGAACGATTGAGGACAATGTAAGCACGTCACCCCCTGGGTGATGCTAAACCAAGCCAACACCTCACGCGCCTGCAATCTCTTGCAGGACCAAGAGCATCTGACTCGGAAATAGTCAAGGAATTATGGCTCGAGTCATTACCAGCTCAAATCCAACCTACTGTGACGGCCCTGCTCGAAGACGCACCGCTTAACCAGGTAGCCCTCATAGCAGACAAAATTTTCGCGAGGACTAGTAACAGAGACAGCTATATAGTTGCTTCAACGGCACGTCCTAAAGTGGACATGGACGCCGGTCATTCCTCAGCTCATGGCGACAGGGACGGGTGTATTCACACACGTCTTAGTTTTCGAGACCGTTGCAACATACCCCAACCCTACGTCCCCCGAGCTCGCTCAAGTTCTCGCAAACCCGTCACCACTCGCCCTAAAAGGGCATCTTTCAAGCCGCGCCGAAAGGCGGCTTCGGAAGCGAGTGAAAGCTGAGGCTGGTTCCATAGGTCCTTCGGGTTCGGCGCTCGCCGTTGTCGAGCATCATACATGGCGGGAAACGCCAAAGCCGGCGAGTAAAATCGGCCGTACTCGCCGGCCTTTCTCCCCAGGTTGGTCGCTTATTTTGTGTGCACGATCACCGCACAAACGCTAGGTTCCTAGTACACACTGGAGCCCAAGTCTCTGTCGTACCACGAGGTAGCAGCAAGTTGCAAGATACAGTGCTTCGACTACGCGCTGCGAATGGCTCAGTCATTCCTACACGACAACTCGCGGTCAACCTGGGCAACCGAAGACGGTATCTGTGAACGTTCATCATTGCCGAAGTTCCCACAGCCATACTAGGTATCGATTTCTTACAGCACTATGAATTACTAGTCGATTCACGTAGACTGCAGCTAATCGACACTTCGTCGAACAGTAAATTCATGGGCTGCAAAGCCCACATGAACGCGTACCGAATCCTCGGCACTTTTTACTCGCGTGACGATAAATTCCACGCTTTATTCGAGAGATTCCCCGTACTCACTAAACCACTAGAGAAACTTCCATTGGTGACCAATCGTGTGAAACACAACACAGTCACCCGCGGACCGCCAGTGACAGCACGACCTCGCCGACTGGCGTCGGACAAATAAGCTTTTGCTAAACGCGAGTTTGACAATTTATTAGCTACTGGTACTATTCGTCCTTCCCACAGTTCATGGGCCTCTCCTCTTCATATGGTACGCAAAAAAGATGGGGTTAAATGGAGACCATGAGGCGACTACCGAGCTCTAAACGTAGTTACGCGCTTTGATAGCTACCCCATCCCCCACATAAACGACATCACGGCATCGCTCAAGGGCACGACTATCTTTTCTAAGATCGATTTGGCACGAGCATATCATCAGATCCCAGTCGCTCTTGAAGATATCGAAAAAACTGCTATCACAACTCCTTTCGGTTTGTTTGAGTTCCTACGAATGCCTTTTGAATTACGGAATGCTGCTCAAACTTTTCAAAGGTTTATCGATAGCATTGTACGAGACCTAGATTTTGTTCACGTCTATGTTGATGACCTGCTGATCGCATCATCAAAAGTAGATGAACATTATCAACATCTTACGCTATTATTCCAACGCCTTTCGGATAATAGAATAGTAGTTAACCCAGACAAGTGCGAGTTGGGTAAACGAGAAATAATATTCCTGGGTCACATTATCAAGCAAGGGGGTATTCTACCTTGCGAGGACAAAGTTGTTATGACTTTAAATTGATGTCAATTTCTACCCTGTGTTATCGATCGATTACAATGACACGCAAACACGAACGGACGGCCTAGAGTCTCGATTTGTCTCACTTCCCTGTATAGCCCAGTTAGTTGAGTCCAGAAGACAAGTCACAACCTCTGAGATATGAATCATTATATTTCAAACATACTTTCTTTATATACCAATCAAGCACACCACATCGTACCATAAAATAGAAAACAACATTTTGTACAATATTTAACAAGTGAACAGATATCGACCAATAGGCAATGTCCATTTAAAGTCCAAGGACACCATTGGATTTAACATGATAATTATTGGTCTATTCCTCTGCATCCACAACACCTCCCCTTTTTTGAAGATCCGGAGTTGATATCCGGATTTTGAAATTTTCTGGGTTCATCCTCCCCCACGAAATAACGTTGGGTCCTCATATACCCAAGCAACAGTTAGTCTGATTCGAATTAAAGCATATTTCGCGCATTGAGTAGAGGGTTCACTAAGACTGACTAGATGATGAGGATTAGCGACACCAGACATGAGGTCCTTATGGTTTGATTCTTGTGCAACATATTCTTCAGACCTCTTCAAAATTCTATCACTGGATAATAGGTCACTAAAACAAACAGCATCTTTGAAATTCGTATTAGATTTCTGACCATTATTTGATGCACGGGAAACATTTTCTGACACGAGAGGTTCTTCTTGTAAGCTGGATACCTCACATTTTTCAGGCACAGTGGGATTTGAACCCACAACAGGGAATGTTTCTGAATTTGACATTTCTGAACAACTGGGCGGATCATGAATGATTGTCTCGTTTACATCACTGGTCGTCCGGGATTCACAGAGGCTTTTATAGGCAGCTTCATATGTTCTGCAGTTGTTTTCCAGCTCAGTCTGCAGATGAGAAATGAAATTACCAACTTCTGTTGCATTTCCGAAACATAGAAAATTTACCAACAGTGTGCGTAAATTTTCTAAAAAATTCAACTGGCTATTTTTGAAGCACTGCTGTTGTTGCTCAAGTAGAAGCTGTAATTGATCGGAACAGGTAGTCATTTTTTTTCAGTACCAGCAATGAAAATTAACTGTAGGAATAATGACCAATGTTGCTCAAGGACGCTGGTGACAATCTGGATGCTGATTGGTCGAAACAATTAGCCTGAATCGCGTCCAATTACAAGGTTCAAAATTTTTCTCCACCCCGTCGCCAATTGTTATGACTTTAAATTGATGTCAATTTCTACCCTGTGTTATCGATCGATTACAATGACACGCAAACACGAACGGACGGCCTAGAGTCTCGATTTGTCTCACTTCCCTGTATAGCCCAGTTAGTTGAGTCCAGAAGACAAGTCACAACCTCTGAGATATGAATCATTATATTTCAAACATACTTTCTTTATATACCAATCAAGCACACCACATCGTACCATAAAATAGAAAACAACATTTTGTACAATATTTAACAAGTGAACAGATATCGACCAATAGGCAATGTCCATTTAAAGTCCAAGGACACCATTGGATTTAACATGATAATTATTGGTCTATTCCTCTGCATCCACAACACCTCCCCTTTTTTGAAGATCCGGAGTTGATATCCGGATTTTGAAATTTTCTGGGTTCATCCTCCCCCACGAAATAACGTTGGGTCCTCATATACCCAAGCAACAGTTAGTCTGATTCGAATTAAAGCATATTTCGCGCATTGAGTAGAGGGTTCACTAAGACTGACTAGATGATGAGGATTAGCGACACCAGACATGAGGTCCTTATGGTTTGATTCTTGTGCAACATATTCTTCAGACCTCTTCAAAATTCTATCACTGGATAATAGGTCACTAAAACAAACAGCATCTTTGAAATTCGTATTAGATTTCTGACCATTATTTGATGCACGGGAAACATTTTCTGACACGAGAGGTTCTTCTTGTAAGCTGGATACCTCACATCTTTCAGGCACAGTGGGATTTGAACCCACAACAGGGAATGTTTCTGAATTTGACATTTCTGAACAACTGGGCGGATCATGAATGATTGTCTCGTTTACATCACTGGTCGTCCGGGATTCACAGAGGCTTTTATAGGCAGCTTCATATGTTCTGCAGTTGTTTTCCAGCTCAGTCTGCAGATGAGAAATGAAATTACCAACTTCTGTTGCATTTCCGAAACATGGAAAATTTACCAACAGTGTGCGTAAATTTTCTAAAAAATTCAACTGGCTATTTTTGAAGCACTGCTGTTGTTGCTCAAGTAGAAGCTGTAATTGATCGGAACAGGTAGTCATTTTTTTTCAGTACCAGCAATGAAAATTAACTGTAGGAATAATGACCAATGTTGCTCAAGGACGCTGGTGACAATCTGGATGCTGATTGGTCGAAACAATTAGCCTGAATCGCGTCCAATTACAAGGTTCAAAATTTTTCTCCACCCCGTCGCCAATTGTTATGACTTTAAATTGATGTCAATTTCTACCCTGTGTTATCGATCGATTACAATGACACGCAAACACGAACGGACGGCCTAGAGTCTCGATTTGTCTCACTTCCCTGTATAGCCCAGTTAGTTGAGTCCAGAAGACAAGTCACAACCTCTGAGATATGAATCATTATATTTCAAACATACTTTCTTTATATACCAATCAAGCACACCACATCGTACCATAAAATAGAAAACAACATTTTGTACAATATTTAACAAGTGAACAGATATCGACCAATAGGCAATGTCCATTTAAAGTCCAAGGACACCATTGGATTTAACATGATAATTATTGGTCTATTCCTCTGCATCCACAACAAAAGTGCAAGTAATAAAGGAGTACAACGTGCCGTCCTCACTCAAGGAACTGAAGGCGTTTCTCGGTTTGGTTAACTCCTACCGTCGTTCCATCCCACACGCAGTAGAACGGGTACGACCACTAACCAACTTACTTCGAGGCAACCCACGCAGATTATAAATGAACGATTCTGCACGTACTGCATTAACAGAGATCAAAGCGGCTCTAGCGCAAGCCACTCTTCTCGCCCATCTCGATCCATCAGCCACGTTTAGTATAGCGGTTGATGCATCCGATGTCGCTATAGGAGCAGTCATGCAACAAAACATCCCCGGTAGTTAGCAACCCCTCGAGTTTTTCTCACGACGCCTTACTACCACGGAGACGAGATATAGCGCTTTTGGTCGCGAGCTTCTAGCAGCCTACTGAGACATCAAACATTTCCGGCACGCAGTAGAAGGACGTCACTTCATCTTATTCACCGATCATAAGCCCTTAACGTATGCTTTGCATACCAAATCTGACCGCGACTCACCACGAGAGTGCAGACATTTGGACTATATCTCCCAGTTCACGACAGACCTTCGTCACATTAAAGGCGAGTCGAACTATGTTGCAGATGCTTTGTCACATATCCAAGCGAATGCAGTTACTTTACCGGTGCTCGATCTTCCTGCTATGGCCGCCGCCCAAGCAAACGATCCCAGTTGTACAAAAGCACCACACTCTACGTCCCTTCAGTATCAGGAAGTACCTCTAGCCACGAATTCTGGCACCGTCCTATGTGATACTTCTACCGGTCTTCCTCGACCCATCGTACCTTCTGCTTATCGCCGTCTCGTATTTGATGCCCTGCATGGATCATCTCATCCAGGTATCGCAGCTACATTACGTCTCATCGCTGCACGATACGTCTGGCCGTCCATGAATAAAGATGTTCGTATGTGGGCAAAGCAATGCTTACAATGTCAACGATCAAAAGTGCACAGGCACGTAGCCGCCCCCTTGGTACTTTCGCTACGCCTGATGCTCGCTCCGATCACGTTCACTTAGGCATTGTAGGACCACTGCCACCATGGGTGTGATCACATACTCACGTGCATCGACCGTTTCACCAGATCGCCCGAAGCTATACCCATCACGTCCGTCACAGCGGAGACAGTTGCTCACCGCTTCGTAGAACGATGGATAGCTCTACATGGTTGACCCTCGACCGTCACGACTGACCGAGGACAACAATTTGAGTCCGCACTATTCTCCTCACTTAATCGGCTGCCTGGTACGGAACGCATACGCACTACTGCCTACCATCCAGCTTCTCATGGTTTAGTTGAAAGGTTTCACCGCCAACTTAAAAGTGCTCTACAAGCACACAAAAACGAAAACTGATACGAAACCTTACCGCTCGTTCTCTTAGGCATCAGAATGAGCTTGAACGCAGATATCCAATGTTCCGCCGCTGAACTTGTATACGGCACGACATTGCGCCTGCCCGGGGAATTCTTCACACCACGGAGCAGACCTAATTTCGCTAAATCAGACTACGTCCGACGACTGTCTGTGTTTATGCGAACGCTGTCTCCGGTGTCAACTCGAATACAACATCGACAGGTCGCCCCCCCTCGAGAGTTATCTACCTGTTCACATGTTTTCATACGAGTAGACTCGGTACTCAAACCCTTGCAACAACCTTATGAAGGCCCTTTTCGCGTGGTCGCTCGTCACGAACAGACCTTCAAGGTTGATCGACATGGCCGCGTCGAGATCGTCAGCATTGATCGTCTCAAACCAGCACACGTCGATGACAGAGCCATATCTGATAACCTGAGATTCAATGCTAGACCTATCAAACCAACTAGCGGGATCCTCAAACCATCTTCAGATCCCACGCTAGATACACCTGAGACCTCACTCCCACATCCTGGTCAACAGCACGCGTCGTCTGCACCGTCTACGGACGAGACGACAGTCTCACGTCCAGATCAACAGACCACGCCGCCCTTGACAGATGAAATTGCAGGCTCGCGCGACGCAAACGAGACTGCCGTCTCACGTTCTGTTCGCTGAGTACGGTTGCCTGTACGCTTACGCGAATAGTCGCACAGCCAACAACCAATACGGAGTGGGACTATTCCTGTATTACATGCATGCTACAATCTTCCCTTATTTGATTTTTTTCCGTGCCCTAAGCCCACGCCTTCGACTATCCCTGTTTGGTACCGTCGACTCCAGCCAACTTCGGCAAAAGCTGGCTCTATCACCCACGCTCTTGTCAACGCACTCAGTCGATATTTTGGTTTCGAATGCTTGGCACACGCTTGGTTTCGAACGTGGTCGTTATGGTCGCTTCTGGTTCCTCGGCTCAACGTGGTTTCGTCCTACGTCTGGAGCGTTTCTGGTCCGTATCCCTGGGAACGCATTCTTCAGACCCTGGATACAAACCACTCTGGTGTAGTATGGCAACTCAAGCAACAAATACATCACATCGCTCCTGGTACCGTTCTCCGAAAAAGACCTTCGTTGGCAATTCGACGATCAACGATCGCTTTCCTGATCCGCCAATTTTTCTGTCCTACAATCGCTCGTCAGCCGATCAGTCCTAGGATTAAAACCGCTATTTATCGAAAGTGTAAACCCTTTCTAGCGGAGGGCTCCTGTAGCGACTCTCTTTTATCACGAGAACACGACTGGTTTAATAAAAACAATTATTAATATAACCAACTGTACCAGTGCTTGTTTTAATGTGCTTTTGTTTAACTGTGCTAATTACAGCCATTTTGTGCTTCCATTACCTTTCATCAATATTCCGCGGTTTTTGGCTTTGTTCGCACTTACTCCATTCTTCTGTTTTCGCTTGTACCATTTCTTGGCACGATCTTGGTATTCGTTTGATACCATGAGATCGCCAACGAAATAAATCTGGTTACGTTCAACCTTCGCCTTCTGATTTGTTTGGTACGCGTTTCCTTGTAGTGGCGTTCATAGTCAATCTCGAATCGACACAACTCTACAGTATCTCGACGTAAACCAGATTCCTTCTTAAATGAAGCATGAATAAAGAACGAGTTTTACATGTCTCATTAATTTACTAGCAGCATATGAGCTATTAAAAACCAAAAGTTACATAAAGTTGCAGCCTACATTAATTTCAGCTAAGCTTTTAGCAAAGATTCCCACAACTGACTATTATATAAGTTAAGTAACATCGGGGTTGAAGGCCATTTATTAATGTGGACAAAAGACTTCCTAGTTGGGCATCAATAAAATGTACAGGTGAACCTCAAGTTACCTAACTGGGAGATTGTACTTAGCAGAGTGCATTACGGTACAGTTTTAGGGTCAGTGTTGTTCCCCTTGTATGTAAATGGCCTTCCAAGTCTTCTGTCATCATCGTTCTTACTATATGCTATATGCTGATATGGGGGGTAACAGAAAGTAGACGTGATAATTTCTTCAGGTTATTTTGAAGCTCTAAGCTATTTGAATGGTCTAAAAATCGGCAGTTGCCGATAAATACTTTCAAGTGTATTGTGACTTATATTGGTCATCAGGGTACAGATACATACACGATGAATAACGTTGAGCTACCTGTTGTCCAGACACACAATGACTTGAGAGTCATCGTTATCCAAGACCTAAAAACTGCTGCACACCTCAGTGCGATAGCCACCAACGGTTTTAGAACCCTATGGTTAATATGTAGGGCCTTTAGCCATGTTCATACCAAAACTTTCTTGACTTTGTATACGGTATTTGCGAGTCCTTAACTCGAGCACTACATACAAGCGGCTAGCCTCTGCCTAAAAAGACAGTGAGCCTCTGGGAAATGTTCAGAGGACAGCAGTTAAGTTGATTCCCGGTATAGTGAAACTCAAGGATGATGCTCGACTGGCTAAACTAGACCTATTTCCATTGTCACATCGAAGAACCAGAGGTGACTTGACCATAGTTTTCAGATTACTTAGTGATAAATTTGCATCTGATATTCCCTCATTCTTCTTGTCTTTCAAAAAATAAAACTTACGAGGATACTTCAAAGACGTTCACAAGCCTAAGACAAATAACTTGTCAACTGACTATCGACTTTCCCATCGAACCACCGACGAATGGAATTCATTACCTTAACACGAAATTGAAGCCCCATCTGTTGACGCTTCCAAAAAAGTTTGATCAAGCGAGAGGTCACCATCACCAGGACTAACACAGGCCACCTAGCTTCCTGTCCCTTCTAAAATGAAACTGATTGTTGTAAGTTGCTAAAAATTCGGCAAGTCACAATCATGAATTCCCGCATAAAGTGGGGTTAATGAGGCTGTACTGCTATACTATAGCGAAATAAAACATATAGCAGAAAATGTTCAATTGTACAATAGTTGAGTTAGTTATTTAACACCTCCGCCACACGTCTTTCTGTGTTGGTAGGTGTACAATTTCCAACGTAAGTATGGGTTTCTGAACTTTCCATTCATACAATCAGTTAGCCGTTTTCCTAAATACTAAGTAATGGTGCTATTCAATGAAAAGAAAGTTTTTTTTCATGGAATTAGGTTTCTGATTTCACTTGAGTGATTTAATACGCCTTGTGTTGTGTTCGTACCCAGTCTATGGACTCTTTTAGGAAGAAAATTGGTCGATGACTTACTTTTCTGAAAGTCCAAAGTTGACGAGTACTGGAATATCCCTGCTTTGGCCCTACAGGACTATAATTGATGAACTAACCAAGCAGATACCAGAAAGCAACTCTTGAAATTTGTCACAGAATTTATTCATCTATATGGCTGTATATTTTGAAATTGTAGCTCACAAAACTTCGTGGTGCCAAAGTCAACTTTATTTTGCAGTTTTAATCCTTAAACTCTTGATCTTACATCATTCTTTAGTAATCAGGATCAGTGGACTATCGACCTACATTAATCATTGCAGTTTGTAACACTGTGGAGGTACAATCTCGTTTTGAATATATCAACAGAAGGTGCTGATATTACGTATTCTGGTAGAGAATTCTAGTAATCCAGTACTCGGTGCGAGAGACGAAACTCCAGACGTAGACGATTTGATCTAGGCTTTTGAACTTTCCTTGAATGTCCTCTCAAATGATCAGTCCTAGACGGAACTAAAAGATAAGACAAATCAATACCAAGGTTATCGTTCAGTATACGATAAGCCAATATTAGATCATCCCGTATTCTACGGTAAGATAACGGGAATAAGTTAAGGTGTCTCAGCACACCTTAACTTAACTACGTCAGGTTCTAGAACACAGACACACATTCAGACGCCCCACAATGGTAGTATTTCTCGACCTTAAGGCGGCATTCGACTCTATTGATCGTGAGGTTCTATGGCAGTGTTTGTCACTGAAAGGAGTACCAAAGAAGTACATTAACCTTATAAAGGCTCTCTACTCGAACACAACTGGTAGAGTAAGAGCTTATGGTGAACTATCATCAGAATTGATTACCTCAAGTGGTGTTCGTCAGGGCTGTCCACTCCCCCCATTCTTGTTCAACTTTGTGGTCGACGTACTTTTAGAGATAACACTCTCCTCATCTAAATTTCCAGGGGTTGAACTTCTACCAGGAGGTTCACTTGTTGACTTAGAATATGCAGATGACATAGTTTTATTTGGTGAAGACGCTGACAAAATGCAGTCTCCTGACCACTCTAAGCAACAATGCAAGCATGTTCGGGATGCGATTCTCTCCCTCGAAATGCAAAATGTTGCTTCAGGATTGGGTTGCATTGACACCCGAACTAATGATAGGGAGTGAAGTAATTGAGCATGTCGATCGCTTCACTTATCTTGGAAGTCTCATCAGCCCTTGTGGTCTGGTGTATGATGAAATCTCAGTACGGATACAGAAGGCTCGACTAGCTTTTGCCAACTTGCGTCATTTATGGCGTAGGCGAGATATCCGTCTCTCAACCAAAGGACGTGTTTACTGCGCAGCAGTTCGTTCCGTCCTACTTTATGGCAGTGAAACATGGCCGGTAACAGTAGAGGATATCCGTAGGTTACTGGTATTTGATCATAGGTGTCTTCCAAACATTGCTCGTATATCATGGGACCATCGAGTAAGTAACAGTTGTTAGGAAACGGGTACTAGGTAAGGATGGCAAATCAATTGATGAAGTAGTGAAACTTCATCAGTTGAGATGGCTGGGACACGTGTTACGTATGCCCAACGACCGACTGCCTCGACGTGCTATGTTCAGTAGTATAGGAGTAGGTTGGAAGAAAGCTAGGGGCGGCCAAACCAAGACATGGCACAAGTCCATGAAGTCACTGACAAGTGCTCAGAGTGAGTCATGTTGGTAGGTGTAGACTACCTGGTTGGGGACCGTGAGATGATAGCAACCGATGGTTAGAGACCCTGAATGACGTGGCTCAAAATCGTTTGCAATGGCGCAGGTGCATACACTCTTTGTGTTCTCCCAAATTCTAATCTTCTGAATTCTTCATGTCCCTTTTTTCCTCTTTCCAAATTTATTTCACTGGATTATACTCTTTAAATAAGATCTCCAAACCCTAATCTTCCCGATTACTGCTTATACTCTTATTACCTCTACCACTACGGGATTTGAATCGACAACTGCATCTCTGTGCTAATGTGGTGTGGCAACTCGAACTGATGTACGTACGTACGAAGTTCTACGTTGTTACTGACTGACTGACTAAGGTGTCTCAGCCTGTCTTCATAAGATAGGCCAGAAAGACCTTTTACCATCTTAGTACCTCGTCATTGAACTCTTTCCAGCATATCTGCTTCATACTTGAAACAAGGACTCGCTGCTTGGATCCCATATTCTAAATGTGGTCTCACATAAATCGGGTATAAAAATTTAAACATTTCGTCATCTAAATACTGGAAAGACCTACAAATAGACCATCATGCCCTATAGCTTTTCGCAGCATCAGCCCTACAGTGACTATTAGTTTTAAGATCACTGCTTAATATAACTCCTAAATCTATAGTTTCTTACTTTGGGTAGCACGGATCCACATATTGTGTAGTGATACGATTCATCATAGTTATTTAATTGCATCACCACACTTATTAGGATTCACTTCTAGTGACCACCTGTCCAACCATACCACCAATGAGCTAAGGTCATCCTGTAATACTATGCTACCCGATATACTGTGTATTGGTCTCCAAATTTTTATGCCAGTTTGTAATTCATTTACATAAAGTGAAAAGAGAGGAAGACCGAGGATTGTACCTTGGGGAACTCCACTTTTTACAGGTACCCACAATGAGAGGGCTCCATTAACCCTTACCTTTTGTCCTCTGTCATGGAGAAAGTCGCTCATCCAGTCTATGACCTTATAATGGATTTCAAAACTTTCCAGTTCTAATTTAAGACCAGAATGGGAGACCTTATCGAAGGCCTTACTTAGAACTATGAAAATCACATCTACATTAATATCCCGATATTTAGCCGCAGCCCAGTCTTCTCTTGCAATGAGATGTGTCAAACATGGTAGGCCTCCCCGAAAACCATATTGCTCTCTGAAGAAAAGATTATGCCCTTGCACATAGTTTATAACAGATATACTGAAATAACTTGCGAATAGCCCATAAGACACTGAATCCCGTGGCAATGGCAGTCTTGCAGTTACTCGTAGTTTTGTAGTTGTTTATTATGAATCCTAAATTTTTATAGTCCATTACTTAGGGTAACACAACTTCACGTATTGTGTAGTAATACGAGTCGTGGCAGTCATTTAATTGCGTTACCACACTCTCGTTAGAGTTGACTTCTAATGACCTATCTATTCATTTAACCATTGAATTTAGATTATCCTGCACTATAATTCTATCTGATATATTGTGTTTGGGTCTCCAAATATTTGTCATCTGCAAAGAGTAAGACTGATAAATTTACTACAGTTTTTAAGTCGCAAGTGGTTGAGGCATCTGAAGACCACTTGGATATCTCTCGGAAATTGTTCATATATAATAATCTTTGCTGTGCTGATATGAATACAGTAGTCTTGAGTGCTGTTAGAGGTATGAGGGCGGTTATCACTTCCCGATTGACAACACCGTGGAAGGATTCTTCTGAAGGTACCTGAAAAGGAGAGCGTGACCGCAGTGCCCAAGGGACAGCTGCTTGAGGTCGGTCACACACGACATTTTTGTGAGTACTTTTTCGTGTTAGCTCTGTACTTGTTGAGACCTTACCGCCGGAGACGGATATCTGTGGATAAGGCGAGGTGTGTGTTTTTAGCGTCGACGTTTTCTAACCCCACCCTTCTTTGTGGGAAGGCAGCAACACTGTTATGCTGGTTGTCTGAAGGAAACACTGTACTGCCGTCGCATCTCTGTACAGTGAGTAGTACAACTTGGCCTTCGGACCTTGGGTTTGTTGCTTTTAGTTTTACCGTTATTCAACAGACCCGTCTTGCATGGTAGGACCTTGAGGAACGATTGTTTGAGCCAGTATAGCTCGGTCGGTTCATCACGATAGGCAAGCCCGACCACCACGTCAAGGTAGCAACAACGGTCGGTCAGAATGGATCACAATCGCTTAGGTATGTACACTCTTTGTCTTCTCTTAAACTATGAGACTAAAATCGCTTCATATATTTCTTTCTACGAACTAATCCTTTCTTTCTGTACTATATCCTTACACAAAATCTTTCCTGTATGTATTACACCATCGAGTTAACTGCTTCTATGAATCTGGTGTATATCTTGCTATGCTAATGAGGTATGGAAACTCGGACCGATGCATATATGTGCCTGGTCTTACGTTGTAACTGACTGACTGCTGTGTTGACATAGGGTCCTAAAGCTTTATCTGGTGAATCAGTTAGTCAGCTGCAACGTAGGACCAGGTTGACTGACTATATATGCATCGGTCCAAGTTGCCTTACCTCATTAGCACAATAAATTCATGGTAGTCACTTCATTAATAGTAATGTATAAAAGAAAGACATAATACAGAAAGAATTGGTTCGCGGGAAGAAAGATATAAAGCAGTTCTAATCTCACAGTTTAAAGGAAGACAAAGAGTGTATACACCGACGCCATTGTGATCGATTCTGAGCCATGTCTGGCGAATCATGCCGTTTTTAGTGTTCCTTGTATTTCGTGCTTTCTCCAAGGGTTTGGAATTTTAATATGAAGTTTTTTGTTAATCGATTTCTTCAACGTCTGTTGTGTTATGGAGGTTCTCCATTATTCAGATCAGTTGCTGGGTTGACGATTATGCTCAATGCGTCATCAAGACCTTTGAGTTGCTCCATGTTATACACAACTTACTATTAGCCTTTCGGAAGTATTCAGTGTATGTTCAGCACCTGAATTATCCTAAATATCGATAGAGGCCTTGTGGAACGGCATGCATTGTACAGCCAGTGTGTTTGTTGCTTGAAACATCTGTTATATGCAGCCGGAGTAAGTTCGGTGCTCATGTCATGGTACCACT